ACAAGGCATCCTATAATAGAATGACATGTATCACCTGCATTAACGTGTCACCTGTGTGTGCTTTAAATATCATGGCGCCATCTTGTGGTTGAAATATAAAATACAACAAGTTGTGTCCAAACTAAATAGTAACAGTTGAACTTAACATGTGAGGATTCATCTCAAGTCTCACATGTTTGTGGACTCACACATGAAGAAGCTGCTGAACGCTTTGCCCTCCTACATACAAGACACACTGACATGCTGCTGAAGAGCAGAGCTCTCATTGCTGATGAGAAGGATTTACTAGTAACCAGAGATGTGGATTCATTCTGCTCCTCATGAGGCAGTTTGGAGCTGATCTGGAATGATATTTGTCTTGAGTTCAGTGGTGAGTTAGAAAAGCTACAAACAAGTATTCCCACTAAACCCACTGACAGGAACACTCTGATGACTGCAGGCAGTTTGAATCCTAGACCACTGAAAGAAGGTCTTCCTATAAGACAACTACACGTTGTAAAATAATTGAAAGAGACTTTAATATAAAATCATTGGATCTTAAAAAAAAGAGACGAGTTTCCTTCTCAATAGACTGATTGTTCTTACAACAAGATCAGAGTCTTTTATCTTCTTGAAACAAAGAAATTAAACAATTTAATGAAAGATATCTTTACAGAAAGTGGTGAGAACAAAATATCTTGGATAAAAGAAGCTCTGGTGATTTCTCTCTTTAAGACACATGCAGTGGAAGAGAAACAACAACAAACAAATTCATCAATACACATTTTCAACAAACATTTAGACCTCAGAGAAGTTTACATTTTCCTGCAGAGAAATATCAGTTCAGGTCAACAAAGATCATCATGAGCAGTGATAGCCTCCATGGTTTAACAGACACAGGAAGGAGCTCCACCTAAAGAAACTCAAACATGTACACAACAATAATGACAAGATGTCAAAGTACCGCCCTCAATGTTTGATTGACAGGTGAAAGAAATCAGGTCTCAGCAAAAATGGACACAAAGTGAGTTTAACAGAAATAAATTTGCTGTTCCATAAATCACTTCTGTCTATTTTAGTTTACAGAACTCAGCAGTGTCTCCATGACGATAAAACCCAAGTCCAGCATAGAGAGGCTGAGTGAATGTGGTCTGGACTCTGTGGAGGAGAGTCATGGTTTCAGAGACGCTGTAGAAAGACAGAATACCTGCTCTGTGATCCAGGTACACTCCTACTCTGGAGGACTGAGGACCTGAGACGGGAGTTTTGATATTGTTGTACCAAAATATAAAACTGTTTTTGTCACAATATAACGCCCAAGATTTGTCATTCAATCCAAAACCACATTCATCAGAGCTTCCTGTTCTGCTGATATTCTTGTATGCGACTGCTACATAAACTCCTCCTCTCCACTCCACCTCCCAGTAACAACGTCCAGTCAGACTCTCTCTACTCAGGACCTGACAACATGAAGTGAATCTGTCTGGGTGACTAGAATAAGACTGATGTTCATTCGTAACTGTTGCTTTTCTGTTCCCCTCAGATAATAACAGCAGCATGTGTGCTGTGTTTGGATCCAGTGTGATTTCACTTGAATATCTTAAGAACTCAGCTCTGGTCTTGGGCTCTGCTTGTGAAGGAGACAGTAAAACGTCCACTTCAGTCACTGCCAGTGAGACGTTTGTCCACTTCTCTCTCAGAACGTCCTGTAGTTTATCTCTGACTTCTGACACAGCCGCCGTCACGTCCTCAAAGTAGCTCAGAGGACGGATATCGATGCCGGACGAGTCTGTAGGTTCTCTGAGTGGTGACAGTGAGGGGTAGTTGTGTAGAAACTGGTTGTGATCCTCTGTGTGTGAGAGCAGCTTCAGCTCAGCGTCTTTCCTCTTCAGCTCAGAGATCTCCTGCTCCAGCTTCTCCTGAAGCTCTTTGACTCGA